TGATTTTATTGTTATTGCTTGATCACACCTTTTATGCATGTTTATTTAAAGGGAATTTGTACTTGTAATCACTCTTAACAAGATAATTAATAATCTTGTTTAGGCTAATATGATTATAATTCAAGTGATTGCCAATAATAATTTTATTTGTGCATTAATATTCAACCAACATAGATTAAACAGGTTTAGGGTTAATTTATTGATTGCATATTAGTCAGAAAGCGCACATGAATACAAGAAGAATAAAGTAGAGGCCTATTATTAGGGCATGTTCAATCTCTTTTAGGTTGGATTTGTACCTTCATACCCGAACTTCCAGTCATGGTTCTAGACCTATTGGAGTTAACGATCTCTTGTATCGTTAAGGGGTGTAACCTTCACCCTGTGAACGGTTTACAAGTTCCTAAAACTAGTTGGCGACTCTTTTACTATAGCTTCCTTCCTTTTGAACGCCACCATGCTTAAGTGTATGATCACAGTGGGGCTCAAGTGTGGGATGGCTCGAAATATTCCCTACAGTGTTTTAGCGACTCCGCTGGGGAGGATTTCTATTTTAATTTCTGAAATTTATTTTAGCAATGATTTAGAATTAGTGGATGAGACTCAAAAATTTTAAGTATTTCATGTGCGTAATTTTGCTTAACATTATTGGCATAAGCATAAAAAGGTTCTCATTGGAAAGGCCATCCGTAATGAGTAAAAAACATTGGATTTTTACACGTAGGAATATTGGGAAGTATCTTTCACAGCTAATGTCGAAATAATGCTCCGAAATAACTGGAAAAATCAAGAACAGAAAGTTGACGAGGCACGTAGGAATTAGCACTGGGAAAACAGCGTCAGCGCCTAACGATGGCGCTGTCGCTTGGCGACAAGCTTGTCATGTGGCGACAAACGCTATTTTTCTCGCGCCGAATTCTTCCAATACCGAGCTAAAAATCTACCTTTTTGTTTCGACTAGTTTTCTAATACTTGTAGACACCCAATGTGTCTCCCCAAAACCAAACCCTGTGATGAATACCTTTCATGTCATTTAATTATCAAACAAAGAAAAAGTGTGAAAAGTCTAGTGATGAGGATATTTTTATTAAAATATCTCTTCTTTCTGCTTTTGAAAATATTTCTTTTCTTACCCTATTTTTGAAAAATGTGCATTCCAATTTAGTTTGGTCCATGATATGGGTCCAATAATGGTGTAGTTTGAAGGGGCTTGAAAAGACCTTTCCAACGATATATTATAAGTCCAATTCCGATGAATAAAGAGGAAGTTATGAACAAAATACTAAACTGGGCCCGATTTAGTTTTTATATGCGGTCCGATGATTTAGAGGAGGGCCTATTATTAATTATCAATACTATAGCTATTAGGATTGATTATAGTCTTCTAGAATACTCTAGAAGTTTCTTTTAAATCCTAATGGAGTTAGGATTGATAATTATGTTTTATAGAGTTTGAAATTGAATAAAACTACTCATTTTTAGAATCCTTGTTTTGTACGAAGTGGAATATATTTAGATTTTATTTTTGTGCCTCATAATCTTTATCCAAATTTTATATTGTTGGGTAGATCTTGAAATTATCTTTCAAATGATATATTATGATATTAAATCCGAGTTGTAATCAAAAGATATGAATGGAATATGAAACTCTATCCAAAAATGACACTCTTTCACTATTTCGGCCATATATTTTTATCTACAAAATATTTTAATCTGATTCTAATTAGGTTAGAATGTAGACTTCAAGAGCTTTCTAACGACATATTATATGCCTTATTTAGACTTCCGTATCAAAAGATATGATAAAAATAAAAAACGCGTGAAACTGATTATTAGCGCTTAGCGCTAATGACCAGCGTCTGATGCTAATCGTGTTTTATTCTCGTCGAAACTCTGATTCGTTTTTTATCCGTTTGGCTGATTTTCTCTATAAATAGCCTCCTAAAACCTCCGTTTTTCATCATCAATTCTCATCAATCCTTCTCAAGAATTAGCATCAGTTCTCTAGTTTCTTATTCTCTCTAGCTTTTAAGAATTATATTCTCTCTCTAGTTTTCTCTACAAAATTCCTCATCCACAAGATCTAGACACACCTAGCAAGTTCGAAGTTGCCTTCGCCCTAGACATGAAAGGTTTTAATTTATGAGGGTTTGGTCCCAAATCTCTCTTTCAATTATTTAATTCAATTGTTTGGTTTTTATATTTTCCTTGAAGTAACTAATGTGTGTATTTTGTTATTAGAAAGAGATACGAGGCATCCAAGTAAGTGCTTTAATTGATTTCATTGATATTATGATATAGAAGTCATGTCTAGGTTGTTATGATTCCTAGTGTCATGTTAGGGTATTTTGATCTTCCTAGTATCATGTTTGGGGTAATTTATAATATCAAATATGACAATTGTGTTTCCTGCAATGCTTCCTATTCTTTTCCTATTATTCATGTTAGTATCATGTTAGGGTTAAAGCTTTGATCTTTATTGTTTAGTGACATGCTAGGGTTTGTTATTAATCTTGTTAGTATCGTGCCTAGGATCTTGCTATTAATATCACTACAAGAAAAAGTCAATTTAGCGACTAATATTTGCAACTACTCTTATATTCAGTTGCAAAAAATATTTTTGCGACTGAAAAAGACGGGTAGTTGCAAATTTTGCGACTGATTTTGCAGTAGTTGCTATGTGGTCACTAATTTGCGACTGATATTTGCAACTACCATAATATTCAGTCACAAAAAATATTTTTGAGACTGAAAAAGGCCGATAGTCGCATATATTGCGACTAATTTTGAAGTAGATGCTAAATAGTAGCTAATTTGCGACTGATATTTGCAACCACCTTAATAACCAGTCACAAAAATGAGACTGAACTATTCTGTCATAAATCTTGTTACCAGTTTGATATTCATCATTTTAAAAAATTAGTTGTTATTTGAACTTTTTCTACATTCCATTTAGCATTGAAATGATGATAAACGCTTGTAGCCTTGTAAGGCAAAGGTAAATCGATTATTTACTACTTGAATATTGTACATGAGTATCTATTATTATCAATAAACATAGGTAATAAAATGTTGATAATAAGAAGGCAAAAGCTAACAAAAATCCCAGGAGCGTTGGATTAGCTAGCTAAAAGTAGAAAGATTAACTTAAAATGAAAATTAATTACACCGATCAATCCGCGATTTTGTCATGCAATCCCAAGTTAATACCACTTTAAGTAATATTTTAAAGGAAAAATTAGAAAAAATAATACCAACTTTCATCAATTTTGATACAATAATCCCTAACTTTGGATTATTCTGGAATAATCCGAACTTTAGGGGGTCTTCTTTTTCTTCAATCCCAAACCGGTCAACAAAAGTCAACAACCTTTAATAAGAGGTCACCATGACATGTGTCAGCTTGTCATTGGTCCAAAAATAAATTAAATTAAAAAAAAATTAAAAATCAGAAACAAAAAATTAAAAATCAGAAACAAAAAAAAAGAAAAAAAACTTAATTCCCCCAAAACCACCAGCCCCCCACCCAAACCACCCCATCCACCGGCCCTCCCCCACCCCTTCCACCAGACCCCACCAGAAAACACCCCCCACGCAGACGAAAAACCGCCCCCACCCCCCGACCACCATTCCCCACCTGCCGAAACACCTCCTCCTCCCTTCCCCCACCCACGAAACCCTCCCCCTCCCTTCCCCCATCCCGTAAAAACCCCTGAAACCGACCCAAACCACCATCCCCGTCGCAACACCCAAAACCCCTCCCTTCCTCAAAACCTCCCTCCCCACTTGCCAGACCCCAAACCCCCTTCCTTTGTACCCACGAACACAATTCGCCCCTTCCCATACCATTTCCGCCCCTTTCCCCTACTTCACCACCATACTCCAAAATTGAAACCCTAATAATGGTTTTAAGGTTTCGATTATGGGTAGGTTTCTATTATGGGTCTTAATAAGGTTTTAGCATGCTAGTTCAGGGAGAAAGGGGGCGGAAATGGTTGGGGGAGTGAGAAATAAGTTCGTCGGCATAGAGGGGATGGTGGTTTGGGTCGGTTACATGGGTTTTTACGGGATGGGGGAAGGGAGGGGGGAGGGTTTCGTGGGTGGGGGAAGGGAGGGGGAGGTGTTTCGGCAGATGGGGAGTGGTGGTCGAAGGGTGGGGGCGGTTTTCCGGCTGCGTGGGGGTGTTTTCGGGTGGGGTTTGGTGGAAGAGGTGGGAGAGGGCTGGTGGAAGGGGTGGTTTGGGTGGGGGCTGATGGTTTTGGGGGAATTATGGTTTTTTTTTTTTTTTAATTTTCAAAGGTTTTTTTTTTATTTTTTTTTATTTTGGACTAATCATGTACTGTCAAGTGGCTTTTAAAAAACATAAAAAAAAATTAACCTTCTCAACAGGTAACCGGTCATAAGGACTGAAGAAAAAGAAGACCCCCCAAAGTTCGGATTATTTCAAAATAATCCAAAGTTGGGATTATTGTACCAAAATTGATAAAAGTTAGGATTATTTTTTCTAATTTTTCCTATTTTAAATGCTTATTCAATGCTCCTGCAGCGTTCGTTAGCAAGATCCTAATAAAAAGAAATGAAGAACCTATACATGAGATGTCTTAAAGACATAAACTAATACAAAGTATATGATTAAATTTGACCAAATAAACTAACCCCTTAAGCAATTTTTAGTGGGTTACTAACTTACTTTTTCTGTATTAGAGCAACTCCAATGGTTGTAGCTAGGGACTTGCTTGCAATATTAAATAATCCCTAGCTATTAGCTTGACCATTTGAGCTACAAAATGCAATTAGCTTGGCTAAGCAAGTTAGCTTTGTCAAGCTAATTTGCTTTGAGAAAAACTTACTAAAAATTTTAAAAAGTAGAATCAATAAAATGAAATATAAAAAGTTAATTAAGGAGGTGAAATTCATTTAAATTATAAGCTAATAGCTAGCCATTGGAGTTCAAAGTAGCTACAATAACAATTAGCTTAAAAATTTATGTGGCATGCCAAGCTAATTGTCAAATTAGCTTGCCGTTGGAGTTGCTCTTAGTGAATGACGGATAATACAGGTTATTAGCACACCTCATCAACGCTTCTTCATTTTTCAGGCACCGAGTTCTTGAGTCTAACCCTAGAGTCACTGCTCACAACTGAAAAACCCCCCAATTCTCTATTTTCCTCTCTCATCTGCTCACTTTCTCCATCAATCTGCCTATGCAACCGTCACAATCGCTCATATCGCCGGATTCCTTGTACACCGACGCCGGCTCAAATTCCTCTATATATGTAAGTTCGTTTATTTATTTATGTTCATCTATTCCAGTTCTAATCTCTAGTGTTTTTTTTTTTCTATTTTTATATATTGAGATCAATTTGTTGATTAAATTTGTCCATTTATTGAATTGCTTTGGAGTTTCAATGTCAAAGCTTGCGTTTTTAATTAATCGTATATTTCTACATGGTTTTGCTTGATTTTTGTTATGTATCTTGTTGGGTTTGATAATTGATAGGAATTTTATTGAAATTCAATTGAAGTGATGGAAGTTTGAAATTATTGGTGAAATTTTGGGGCTTTTTGCGTATTTGTAATTACCATTTCATTATTAATGTTGCTGAAAAATGTGTATTTGTAATTACCATTTCATTATTACTATTCGCATGGTCCTCAGAAACAACTAAAGGAAGATGTAATTTGCATTATACTTGGGCTGGAAAACAACAAAGATGTAATTTGTAAAAACTATTTTATGCTCTTTGGTTCTTTATTATGGTGTTATCACCTATGAATGAGTATAGCTTCATAATTATAGTTTATCATTGAAGTGGACAAGTGGTGCCATAGTTTCAGTTTTGATAATTTCATCTTAATTTGTTTAGCTGACACATTTTACATTTACGCACCATTTCTAATTTGGATTATATACTTGGTTATAAAAAAAATCCTTTCTTTAGGATTCAATTACACTCTTAATATTCGTACACTACTTGCCAAATCTTTGATCCCTGGTTAAGCTTGATGCCATTTACTTTCCCAATTCTTGCATTTACAAAGAATAAAAGTATGCAATGAAATAAGTTTATTAAATAAATCCAGGTATAATAAAAATTGTTGATTCCCTTGTTTTTTTTTTTTTTTTTTTTTTTTTTTTTTGGGTTCTTGTAGTGTCCTTCCAGCAAAATGATGTTGATTGTGAACAAGATGTGATGCAATTCAGGAAAAAGATAAATTCACATAAGCCCCTTAAACTTCTTGAACTTGTAACTTTGTAAGTCTTCACTCTCTAGGTTTATGTGATTATTTGTTTCAACTTCTTGGATTAGGTGAAGCTATGGGTAATTATCCTTTAATTAATTTCAATAATGCTTGGATATTCTAGAGTTTTCCCTGTCAATTTGTTGGACTTATAATATTATATATGAATTGGATGGCTTTTCTTAAGTCTTGTTCTATTTGTCTCAACTGAATAATTTATTAGATTAAATTATTTTTTATACAATATCATTCCGGCTGCCCTTATGCTGCCATTTGTAAATGCGTAATATGTTACCGATATTGCTCTCCTTTGCTAGCTATAGTTTGCTACTGCCTCTGCAGTCTGTTGCCTTTTCATTCCCGCTGGATGTTGCTGTCTCTATGTGCATGGCAGCTTAACTGAGATCGATCTAAGTTAACTAATAACTATTAATTGCACAATAAACTTCACGTGTTACATCATGGTATAGATATTCAGATGTTAATCTAAGATTCTCTAGATGTGTTCGAGTAGATTAAGTTAATCTTAGTTAATCACTTATCTCAAACCAGTCCCTGGCTCCCTGCATCTCAATCAGAAAGCTATAGCACAAATGTGAAATTCAAGACATGTGAGGTTAAATTGAAATGTTAGAGGATGGACTAAAAGTGAATCCAAACAGTTTAGACACAAGAGTGGTGTGTGTAAGATGTATGTAAAGTCCAAACACTTTCCCGAATTCCATGGCATCAAGAAAAAATCTAACAAATGGTGGCTTATTTGTAGTGTATGTTGCTTCTATTGCTTCGTTTTGCTGTTGTACCTATTGCCACGTGATTTTTCATTGCTCCCTGCTATGTACGCATATGTTTCCCCTGCTGCTACCTGTTGTTTGCTTTTGTTGCTGCATATTGTCGTCGTACCAGCTGGCACATTGCAATGCTGACTTGTATTAATAGAGGTTGAAAAACCGCTATTAAAGCATTTTTAACCGCTATAAAAGGCATATTTTGTCGTAATGGTCATGAAAAGTTAGATTATTAATGGTCCTTAAATTGCTATGAATCTTCCCAAGCTTTCAAGGGGGGTCTTGATGAGTTTAAGTTGTCTCTTCATAATATCTTTTAATTATCTATATAGCTCTATTATAATCATCTACAATATTATGGTATTCATTCATGTCTTGTTGGTTTTTAAACAGGCCTTCTAGTGTATTCTCTTGATAATTATTATCAAGGTACTTATCTGGTTTTCATTCTAGCAGACCTGTTGCTGCTGCCTCAGTCGCTATTATTAACGTTGAAATTATTGATGCTGATGCTGTTGTTGTTGCTGCTGCTGTTAAATGTTCCTATTAATGCTAATATCAACTTTGTACAATTGAAATACTTTCTTTTGGGAAAAAATTGTAATATTTATTACAATAATTATTATTGAAAATATTCAACTTTTTTTTTTCAAGGTTTAAATATATGTATGTGTATCTGTTTCAATTTAGAGGGAAAAAAACCCATTTTTTAACGGGCATATTTGGCAATGTTTCATGTAAGAACTGGTGCACCATGGGCACCAAGCATTTAGGTACCGGTGTCTTTGTGGTTTTTATAATAGAAATAATCTATTGTAAAAATTTAGTAACTAAAATATGTATTAGCAACTGATTGGTTAGTAGCACATAATTGATCTTAGTAGTTGCTAATCAGTCACAAAAATATTGGTCTCCGTAGTCTCTAATCCGCCGAACAATACTAGTCAACGTAGTCTTAAAAATTTGGTCAAAGTAGTCACTAATCTGTTGCTAATATTTTGTGATGGAAAACAGATCAGTTGCTAAAATCTCAAAGTTAGTCATTAAATGACAGTCGCAAATTAGTCGCTAATATTTTGCGACGGGCAATAATTTAGTTCCTAAAATTTTAAAGTTAGTTGCTAAATGACAGTTGCAAAGTTGTTTCTAAATTTGTGACTATACCAAAATTAGTCGCAAAAATGGATTTGCGACGAGGTCTTTAGTGATTAACCAAAGTAGTTGCAAATCCGTCGCAAATCCATTTTTGCGACGGATTTGCGACTAATTTGACCGTCGCAAATTCCCCTTTTTCTTGTAGTGTATAACATGATTATTTTAATTATGATTATTATGATATTTATTATGATTATTATAATAATAATAATTATTATTATTATTATTATTACTATTACTATTATTATTATTATTATTATTATTATTATGTTGCTTGAATTTTATTTATTGCTTGATCGCATCTTTTATGCATGTTTAAAGGGAATTGATACTTGTAATTACACTTAATAAGATAATAATAATCTTGTTTAGGATTAATTTGATTATAATTCAAGTGACTGCCAATAATAGTTTTATTTGTGCATTAATATTAAACCAACATAGATAAATCGGTTTAGGGTTAATCCTATTGATTGCATGTTAGTCAGAAAGCGCACATGAATACGATCAGAATAAAGTAGAGACCTATAATTAGGGCAGACTCAATCTCTTTTAGGTTGGATTTGTACCTTCATCCCCGAACTACCAGTCATGGTTCCAGACTTATTGGAGTTGACGATCTCCTGGCTGGTTAAGGGGTGTAACCTTCACCTCGTGAACGGTTTACAAGTTCCTAAAACTTGTTGGCGACTCTTTTGCTCTATCTTCTTTCCATTTGGACGCCACCATGCTTATGTGTATGATCACAGTCGGGTTCAAGCTAGGGATATTGCTTGAAATATTCCCTATAGCGTTTGGCAACTCCACTGGGGAGGATTTCTATTTTAATTCCTGAAATTTATTTCGGCAATGATTTAGAATGAGTGGATGAGACTCGAAAAGTTCTAAGTATTTAATGTGCGTAATTTTGATTAACATTATTGTCATATGCATAAAAAAAAAAGGTCTCATTGGAAAGACCATCCGTAATGAGTTAAAACATAGGATTTTTACACGTAGGAAATTTAAGGAATATCTTTCACAACTAGGATCGAAATAATGCTGCGCGAAACTGGAAAATTTTATCGAGCACAGAAAACTGCTGAGGCATGTAGGAACTAGCTTCAGGAAACAGAGTCTAGCGCCACTTATTTGACTTTAGCGCCAGGCAACAGCTTCTGTCGCCAGGCGCTAAAGCCAAATTGTGGTGCCGACCTTTGTTTGCTGGCGCCAAGTTCTTCCAATACCGAGCCAGAAATATGCGTTCTAATTTTGACCAGTTTTTAGCATTATTTGCTCGATTCTACTTCCTAATTTAGTTTTTCTCACTTTTCTGAAACCCTTATGTGTTCTACATATGGACATAACCCTATGGGAATTCATGCTCCATCTACCTGATTGAACGCTCTCTGCAACAAAGGGTACATCCGAGTATGTTGAATTCACCAAACCATGGAAGCGAGTTTTTTAACTCGCGGTGTCCCATCCACTCGCGCCAACCTTTCACGGTTAGGCTTCCGCGCGGTGCATCCGGACAATTAACCATGGACCCTCTTTGACTAACCCATATCCTAAACTTTAGAGAACTAGAGCCATGGTTAGGTTGCAAACTCATTGCATCATGTTGTGACTAATTGACTACTTGTGCATCTCTTACTTGTGCATACTTATTATGTGACTAAGCTAACCATTTGGTTTGACTTGTGCTTGTAAATAAGTTTTAATAAACTAATTAATGACTAAAGGACTTTGATTAATTAATTGATTAATTAATTCGAGCTAATAAATATGTTTAAAATCAAGTCATAGTCCCTTTAAGTCAACCCGGATTTTTATTCCAGTATGCTGCACAAGCATCAACTTGTTTTGATCATAGCCGGAGTTCTAGGAAGAAATACGAGTCTTACAGCCAATGGATCTGTACCCCCGTGTTTTATCTTTAATTTGGCGTTGGTTTCATCCCAATCAGAGTCACAGATCAAAAGTTATGACTAAAATACCACAGCCTGTCCAGTTTAATGCATATACGTGAGGTCTTAACTTAGTCTTTGCTTGAGTCTAGTCACATAGTCCAGCCACATGGTCATGACACGAGTCTTAACATATCAACTACACTCACTAGTCTTAGCACACACTTTTTACATACTCTTTGTACACCATGACCATATCTTAGGTTCATGCATGAGTCAGTTTTTTTTCCGTCATTTGAGTTGGGGGTACATTCTATTCCTAATTTTTTTTATATCTCTCCATCTACATCATCTTTCCATTCTCTACATGCTTTCTCCATATCACAACCTTCATTCTTCCTACCTTCTTCCATCTATGCATGTTGAATCGAGTTTGAGTTATGTGATTGACAAACAAAAAAAAATGAGGGTAATGATGAAACAAATGCACAAGGCAAGCTTCTCAGCAAGATTTCATGCTTTATTCTTATTTTTTTTTCAAACCCCTTCCCCAATAAGTCTAGCATAGACACCCTTCATCCTCCTTGAATTTATTTCTTAGAGTTTGATTTTTACCCTTCACTTTTTAAATAAAATGAGCATTTATTTCTTTACATATGATCATATCATTTAAAAAAAAAAATTCCATGTCAAACTAAGCACAAGGTATACCAATGATTTGAGGCACCCTTTGTAGCCACATCATATCACCTTTCACCCTTCAAATATGCAATCCTTTTTTGGTAAACCACTTTGAGCCTCGTCTAACGATAAACCCTTCAGTTTTTCAACCTACATCTACCTAACCTTGGGATGGGATGGTGTGTAACATATGCAACTTCAAAAGCTTGAGTGATTTCAAAAAAATAATAAAGCAATAATAATAATAATAAAAGTGTACAAAAGGGCAAGTGTTCCAATGTCTTTGATATGAAAATATCTTCGATAAGAACACGTCTCAGATTGCGTCTCTTATCGAGTGCTCGGTACCGTGCCTGAGAAACATGAATGCCAAGTGAGTGATAGATCGCATGCCTGGGATTGCCCACACTTATAAAAGTAAAAAAATTGCAAAAGAAAAAAAAAAGAGCAAAAATAAAAAAAAGAAAGAGCTCAAAAGTGAGAAACCTCAAGCACAATAATACAAAGATTCAAAAGTAAGGTTGCACACCTTAGGGGCTTATCGAGGGTCTTGAGCCTTTATCCCTTTCTTCTTCAACCTTTATCCTAACCATGTTACAACCCTTAAAAAGACCTTTTTGAGGTATACACACACTTGTGCGAGGTTCGGCTAGAGCTACATTCGTCCTGATTCCTAACGGATACGTAGGCAACCTCACATCGAGGTGCGGCCGTAATAAAAATGCATTCATATTTACACTCATAATTAATCATATCTAGGGATCTCCAATGCTCATCCCTATCTACTTAGAGCTAGACTTGGGGGCTTGATCCTTACATCATTAGCTTACCTAGCCTAAGAGTTACCATCATTTGACTCTTCTTGAAATAATATCTTTTTCCACACACTTAGCCCTTGCGGCCTAACTTTAGTGTCACTTTCACACACATCACAAATACATGACCAAATATACTTTCCCTTAGGAACCCTTTGTCATGAAATCTTAACATAACGCTGAAGCATGCCTTGTTATGTCAAAATCTCTCATCAATCATCATTACATCACAAAGTATGAAGTACCTAGCCTCCGCGCCTAAGTTACCTAAATACTTTCATTATCGAGTCAACTAGGATAGTCTAAGATGTTACAATCCTTGTACTGTGAGAGACAACGTTAACGGATTAAGCTCATTCAACATGCATCTTTAAAAAACTTCACTTCCATTCTTTTTCGTGTCTTTCCATTTCGGGAGAAAGTCGGTACCCTCCACAAAAAAGACGAATTTTTTTTGCTTTTTTGCATTTTCGAGTCCCACGATCACAATACAATGCACACACGAGTCATGTACACGTTGAGTCATATCATGATATCACCTTGATTTGAGTCTAACACATGTGTCAAACACTTTGAGTCGAGTCAATCACAGCGAGTCAAGTTCATACCTTGAGTCACGACAAGTCAATGAGTCAAGCGACATTTAAAGCTTAGGTCAACCCTAAAATAATTAAAGAAAGATAAATACAGGTGCATCCTAGAAGCAGCAAGAGCAGAATAGGGAAGACCCTACTCCAGCACCAGACGACAACATCTAACATCTGGCAACAGATTTCAGCGCCTGTCCCTAGATCCCAGCGCAAGAGGCATTGTAACGGCGACAGAACGCTCGACCACTCAGCGCAGTTATTTCAACCTATTTCAGCAATTTCGGGTTCCTTAGTAAGCCAGCTAGCCCCTATAAGCAATTTGACATGATTAAGTAGTCGGCTTGATTACAATCGCAATAAGTGATTCACCTGACGAAAGATCGTCTCACTTTAGCTTAAAATGCCTAAACATTGGCTCATCGCAAGACACCGACGTACTGGTTCATAAACAGCAGAGACACCGACATATTGGTTCATAAACAGCAGAGGCACCGACATAATGGTTCACAAGCATCAAAAGCGC